ATTGATAATCCAAAACTGCATTAGGATTTTTTTATAACTGAAGGTCGTAATAAAACTTGGAATAAAACAATTAAAAATGAGAGTGCTCACTGCTCAGTCACAATAATGGTATTACTTTTTGCATCGACAAATACCTTGCCAGTTCATTCAACTGTACCTAATACCATACCAAATTAATTAATTACTTGCAAAGATATTTAGATAAAAACATGATACAGACAATTATCAGGGTTACCTACTGATAAAAAAAAGTCTTTTACTCTGTTCAATTGTTTCTTACAATTTCTTATAAAATGTTACTGAACGGTGCGAATGTAAGAAGAAGTCGACGCTTTTCTATATCTAGGAAAAGCCCAGGATGGAAAACGTGGTAGAGACATTAAGTAAACAATAGCGAAGGGTCGAATGGCTTCTAACAAAACTTAATCATTTTTTTAGTTAATTTAGAAATTTGGAAAGGATTATCAAATGTATGTATGTATTTGACGCTGTGGAGGTCAATAAGGGAAAAGGAAGATAGGTTGGTAAGACACCTTCTGAGACATGAAGGGCTAGTTTGAGACTTAGAAGTAGAAACAGCAGCAAAAAGAGAGAAGATCAGGAAAATCTACGTACAATGTATATTAGATTAATGTACGCAAAAAGTTAGGGATGTAGAATGTTTTCGGGAAATGCGAAGATTGGCTTAGGATCGTGGAAGTGCGTTTCTAGTCAGTCTTCCAGTTGACGAGCTTGCGGTTACAGAGGAAAATTCAATTATTAAATAACTAGATGAAAACAACCCGCCCTTTTGGATTTACATTCTCATTTATGTTAAACGGATGTTTATTGGTCAACTTGCAAATCCAAATCCACACCAGTCTGATGAAATTTCTATCATTATACGAGGTTCCAAGCATTGCTTAGGGCAGTAACGGAAATGCATGAAAATGCTCTAGTATAATAGTATCAGAACTCACACATAATGGTTTTCGAACATTCCGGTACTTTCTCGATTCTTTTCTCTCTGTTCAATTCACTCTAGAACCTTCTATCTGACGACAATTGTAGCCATTCGAGAACAGTGTAGTTCAGAACCATACTGGAATAATTCAAGAGGTTTCTAGTACATTTTCCCTTACTCTAAATGTGACCTGATGGTTCTCGAACATTCCAGAACTTTCTCGATTCGTCCTGTCTAATTCACTCTAGAACTTGTAACTGAGGACAGTCGTAGACATCAATCACACATAATGGTCTCAGAACTTTCCAAAGCATATTCGATTCTTCTTGTCCAATTCACTCTAGTCTAGAACTTCGTACCTAAGGACCGTAGACATTCAAGAGTTGTCCAGCTGAGGATCATGTGAGCAACATTCAATAACTTTCCAGTACTCTAGGTATTCGGTGCCCTTAAACCTACTTGGACGCCAAAGTTGACAATTCTTAAACATTATAGCGCATTGAAATATTTTCTTGAAGGCTTTTGTTGAAATATATATAAAATGCCTTAACATACTTAGTTTCAGAAGTCATCTCTTACACAAAATGGTTGTCGGATTTTACAGAATGTTCCCGATTTTTCAGGACTAGTCCACTCTAGAACATTCTACCTCAGGACAATCTAAGACATTCGAAAACATTCTAACTGAAAACTACCCTAGAAACATTCTAATACATATCGGTTGTTCTATAGTATATAGGTATTTGGTGGCCGGTGGTCGACCCGCAAACGCACACACCTACTAAACTAGAGAAATTTCAAGTATTGTAGGAGATCCCAAACATTTTTTTGAACAAATTAGTTGAAACATAACATTGCCCTAGTTCGACCACTTTTAACCACCATTTCTCCCATATTACCACAGTTACCTACATGTAACTACCACAATACACGGTATACCACTGTATTCAAGTCAATTTTAATTTGTATGATATATGTAGATACGCGACAGGGTGTTGTAAGGTGCCATGTGTTTTTGCGATACTGAAGGAAATGATTCATAACTTCAGCATCTTTTTACCCAATTTTCAAATTTGGACGCACGAAATTTTGGTCTTTACAAGGGTTCAACCACAGACGAATCTGATGAGGTAATACAAAAGATGCACTTTATATACGGCCCTTGACTCGTGGGACTCCGGAAGTTGTCATGCATTTCTTGTAAAAATAGAAAATTACGCGTTACTTAGGAATTTTATACATTGTCCTTTATTTTCTTCTTTTTGAAAAGCGGTCCCCAAAGAAAGTTATGCATTGGGTCCTAAACATCTACTATCCGCCACTAAATAATTTATCTTAATTGAATCATACTTATCTTCAATTTTTACAATCAACTGATGAAGTTGCACAAAAAGAAGCATGTGCATGAAAAGAAACCTTCTAAAAGCAATAGGTTTTACTAGAAGGAATATTACAATTTAGAATTCACTTTCTCCAGCAACGTGTCTTGTAAAGACTTTTAAACGTGTATCTACAGTTATTAGTTAGTTGGTGTGTTGGGTTGGTGAACTTTCTTTAGGAAATATTTCTTTGAACTGACCACGTTGTTGAAACACGTATCTCATTTCACTCTCACTTTCTTTTCATTCGATCAATATTTTATTAACGTGATGATGCGCTTCCTCAATTGAAACACCATCGAACTGTCCATTCGAAAGCAACATCTGAATACAAACTACTACTCTCCATTTCACTTTTCATCTGTGTACGTTTATCAGAAACACTATTAGTTTTGTATTTATGAAACGTCAATATTGGTTTTTATAAATGGATATTAAATAACATCGTGTAATAAATATAGTGTTAAAAGATTTCTTCCGATTTATTCTTCTAATTGGTCTGTGTCCTTCTAGATTAAACTTATATTTTGACCACAATTGCATACTTTTTGGGCCACTCTGAAAACTAGTTCTTGAAATGTACTTAGTAATTTTTTACGCTGTTTTGATTAATATTCGTCCCATTGAAAAGTGTCGACAAAAAAATATGTAATGTGATGATAATGATATATCGCGTCGGCTATCGGCATCGTTAATTTTGTTTCCATTGTTCATTAATTATTAGGGAATTTTTTAGATCAAACATCGTAGGAACTGAATGTTTCAGCTTTAGATTTAGTAAGTAGGGTTTCATCAACAAAAAACGTTATTAAACCAAGATTATCGATGTATTTCAATAACATTGCTCATTAGGTTTTCAAAAATAAAACGGTCACATTTCATGGGTGACCACTCGTATAATATTCCAGTCAACAGTTATTTTATAATATACTTGGATTCATAACGTGGTAGGGTAATGTATTATTCAATATTAAGTAATTAAATTTATTATATATATATATGTACGTACCTGCGTATTTATATAATAAGTATTTAATTAAATTGAATGACAGGCTAATTCTGTTTTGTAATCGTTTTAAGATATGTTTCTACAAAAAAAATATTCATAATTATGGAATAAGAATTCCATCCGTACCTTCTTCGTTGAGCAACAATGAAATCTAGTCATCAACAGATAAGATGCTGCATTACATAATAAATTGAAATCTGGTAATATGTGAAGTAGTCAAACTAAAATTCTTTAAGTGTTTTGACACTAAATATATCAAAATGTTACGAAATATGTATAAAATATTATGTGGGTCTGTTCCAATTCGTTCATCTTACACAACATATACATATGTGGTACGATGTACCATGTAAATGGATAACCATTACAAATTATACCTTCTCACGCAAGTAAATTGATATGAAGTTTTCTTTAAAAAGTAAAATTTTAGTATACACAATATTTAAATATGATCTTCTAAATGTGACCTGATGGTTCTCGAACATTCCAGAACTTTCTCGATTCGTCCTGTCTAATTCACTCTAGAACTTGTAACTGAGGACAGTCGTAGACATCAATCACACATAATGGTCTCAGAACTTTCCAAAGCATATTCGATTCTTCTTGTCCAATTCACTCTAGTCTAGAACTTCGTACCTAAGGACCGTAGACATTCAAGAGTTGTCCAGCTGAGGATCATGTGAGCAACATTCAATAACTTTCCAGTACTCTAGGTATTCGGTGCCCTTAAACCTACTTGGACGCCAAAGTTGACAATTCTTAAACATTATAGCGCATTGAAATATTTTCTTGAAGGCTTTTGTTGAAATATATATAAAATGCCTTAACATACTTAGTTTCAGAAGTCATCTCTTACACAAAATGGTTGTCGGATTTTACAGAATGTTCTCGATTTTTCAGGACTAGTCCACTCTAGAACATTCTACCTCAGGACAATCTAAGACATTCGAAAACATTCTAACTGAAAACTACCCTAGAAACATTCTAATACATATCGGTTGTTCTATAGTATATAGGTATTTGGTGGCCGGTGGTCGACCCGCAAACGCACACACCTACTAAACTAGAGAAATTTCAAGTATTGTAGGAGATCCCAAACATTTTTTTGAACAAATTAGTTGAAACATAACATTGCCCTAGTTCGACCACTTTTAACCACCATTTCTCCCATATTACCACAGTTACCTACATGTAACTACCACAATACACGGTATACCACTGTATTCAAGTCAATTTTAATTTGTATGATATATGTAGATACGCGACAGGGTGTTGTAAGGTGCNTGATAAGTGTCAATCAGATAAAAAACAAACAAAAAAAAGAGCTCTTAGTTTTTCACAAAAAAGATGTAAACCATAGTTTTTAACACTTTCAACAGTTAAAGCTCCAATTTTTAATGTTTTCAATTGAATTATTTATTGTATATGTAAAATTTATACGTTCAATTCTCATTTCTATTTGATAAATAATTTGTTCAGAATATGTACCTAACGGTTTGTACAGAAACAACTAGTACACTAATACTTTCAGATGTAAGAAAATTTGTTGTATTTATAATTGTCTCAATTCAATGCTAATTTGTTAAGTAAATTCAGCTGTTGATGTTGCTCAAGACAATTAACTTATAAAACAATCCACAAAAACCCTGTGTGACAAAATTTCACTTACCTATTGTTGTGTTGGCAATTTTATCTAGAAATAGGTCCAGGTTGGGCATTGAAGGAAACCTTATAATAGAATTTTCCGAATATGGAACGTACAAAACTAAAACAGTCACCAACAGGAACATTTCCTTCTTCATCTTTAAAATTCGTTTTTATGGTTAATTATTGTTATAATATTTGGAAGTGTTTTGGCTCTTCCTGTCTTTGCTTATTTTTCACGCGGTCATTAATTGTATTATCGAAATATTTTCCGCACAATTTTTCCAAAACAAAAGTAACTACTTTACACCCTGAACAAAACCTTAATATTTTTATTGTACGATTTAAGGATCGCAGTTCTCATTTTGTTCCGCTTTTATTATTAATTATGAGCGTCGTTTAATTGTAATTTATTTATTTATCAATAACCGGTTAGTTATGTTATTGTTGTTAACAAGCACTAGATCAGAACGGTTTCGAAAGTGAGTTTCTCACAGACTGATGAATGTTTATGCCGGTAGGCGCGGAAAAGATAGAAAATAAAACTCTTTGGCGTAGTTGGCGGTGCAAAGACCAATGTCAAAGCATTTCAGCTTGTTTTGAACTTCTAAAAAATAGGTAATGACGTCAAATTGGCAATTTGTATTCGGCAGTTTGAGGAATCAAGGTAGAGTTCTTGGCTGTTTCAACAAATAAATCATGTGCTTTTTTATGAAAAAAAGAACATTTTTTGTCATTTGTTTTTGCTTACCTACACAAAATTCTTCTTCTAAACGAACAGGCCGACTGCTGTGCACAAAGAAAACAAATGTTTGCGCGTGTTTAAATAAGTGTAATATCCACACTTCTAATGTAAAAATTTTGTACTTATTCCAATTTTATGGAAAGTAAAAAATAAACAATGTTAAGGAGTTGTAAAATTAAGAAAGTTTTCACAATAAAGTGGATATTGTAAACAATCAATGATTAAAGATATGTCAGACGTCCTGTACCTCCCGGTTTATTTTGATTAACGTGGTGATTCCTCCCTTGCGGTTTGCACACAGCGTCCACCATGGACGCGCGATTGAGATACGCACAAAAGCTTATGGTAGCTGAAGTCACTACTACCAATTTCTCCTAGATTTCTAGAACCCAGTGGCTAGCTTGGTACCCGTCTTGGTACCTCCTGGTACTCCTCTCCGATCAGTATTCGGGATGTAATTACTGACACCAATAGTCCAATCTCAGATGGCCGGACAGGCAGGATTCATGAGATTGTCAGGTAGGACAGACATTAGTGCTACTATGTAATGCATTTACTTTATGATGCTCCCCCTTCAAATTATTGGCAATCGCTCCCGATCTCCCGAACGAACTTGTCGATTATCTCCCCTTTTTCTCGAATAATAATAATAATGGGCAATGCCTATAATCATTGTCGAGTAATAACGATGATGCCGAAAGTAAACAGTGTATAGAAAATGGAAAAGTAACTGTTTAAAGCGAATGGAAAGAATGGAAGTTGTATGGTGGAGCGAATCAAGAAGATATTGAAAGTCAAAGAAGAAAGAGAAGAAAGTAGGCATGATAGGCATATTAAAAAATATGGGTGAACTAAAGGAGGAGGCATTCACAGTTACAAAAAATGATATTGGAACAAGGCATTTCAAGACAAAGGGGAATACGTAAAAAGGAAGAGAGGTAGTGAAAAGGAGAAAAAAGATTAATTTATTTGCATACAAGGAGAATATACATTTGGAATAATTTTTGGATGATGATTACAATTAATTTATGCTTAAGAACAAGAAAACAGGTAGAGCTGGAAAAGGGATTAGTAGTTGTAGGAAAAAAGTGTTAAAAGTAGATGTTAAAGCTTTGTTTAGTAGAGTTTATGGTGACAGGGTGGAATTTAGAGAAATGTAGATANTGTCATTTGTTTTTGCTTACCTACACAAAATTCTTCTTCTAAACGAACAGGCCGACTGCTGTGCACAAAGAAAACAAATGTTTGCGCGTGTTTAAATAAGTGTAATATCCACACTTCTAATGTAAAAATTTTGTACTTATTCCAATTTTATGGAAAGTAAAAAATAAACAATGTTAAGGAGTTGTAAAATTAAGAAAGTTTTCACAATAAAGTGGATATTGTAAACAATCAATGATTAAAGATATGTCAGACGTCCTGTACCTCCCGGTTTATTTCGATTAACGTGGTGATTCCTCCCTTGCGGTTTGCACACAGCGTCCACCATGGACGCGCGATTGAGATACGCACAAAAGCTCATGGTGGCTGAAGTCACTACTACCAATTTCTCCTAGATGGTGAGCAAGATTTCTAGAACCCAGTGGCTAGCTTGGTACCCGTCTTGGTACCTCTTGGTACTCCTCTCCGCCCAGTATTGGGGATGTAATTACTGACACCAATAGTCCAATCTCAGATGGCCGGTCAGGTAGGATTCATGAGATTGTCAGGTAGAACAGACATTAGTGCTACCATGTAATGCATTTACTGTATGATGCTCCCCTGCCAAATTATTGGCAATCGCTCCCGATCTCCCGAACGAACTTGTCGATTATCTCCCCTTTTTCTCGAATAATAATAATAATGGGCAATGCCTATAATCATTGTCGAGTAATAACGATGATGCCGAAAGTAAACAGTGTATAGAAAATGGAAAAGTAACTGTTTAAAGCGAATGGAAAGAATGGAAGTTGTATGGTGGAGCGAATCAAGAAGATATTGAAAGTCAAAGAAGAAAGAGAAGAAAGTAGGCATGATAGGCATATTAAAAAATATGGGTGAACTAAAGGAGGAGGCATTCACAGTTACAAAAAATGATATTGGAACAAGGCATTTCAAGACAAAGGGGAATACGTAAAAAGGAAGAGAGGTAGTGAAAAGGAGAAAAAAGATTAATTTAGTTGGATACAAGGAGAATATACATTTGGAATAATTTTTGTATGATAATTACAATTAATTTATGCTTAAGAACAAGAAAAAAGGTAGAGCTGGAAAAGGGATTAGTAGTTGTAGGAAAAAAGTGTTAAAAGTAGATGTTAAAGCTTTGTTTAGTAGAGTTTATGGTGACAGGGTGGAATTTAGAGAAATGTAGATATATAATTTCTGTGTTTAATCAAACGAAAAGAAAATAGAAGAGCAGATGACTACAAAAACTGTAATAATAGTAGAAATTTAAATATAAGAGTAATATTAATAAGTGACGGGGTGCATCTTCATAGTAAGAGAATACTTTGTTAGAGTTTTTCTCTTTATAGTTTTCTTTTGTTTTCGTCTAAGAGAGGAAATCTTCATAGATACCCAGCCGTCCTTACAACTGCATAGTGTGGGATTCCCTCCTGGGAGGACCTACCAACTAAAACTCCTCCACATCAGGTCGTTATATGACTCTTCTTGATAGTGCTCAAAACAATTATCAAGTAATTTTGAAAAAATTACAAAAGATTTTAGAGGTTTTCAAAAGTTCATACGAAAATTAAGAAACTATTGTTATCATTATCCTTACACACAATTATATTCCTAGCATAGGTAGAGAAATACACGTTTATAACATATTCAGACAGTGAAAATTATCTTATTAGCTATTCGCTGCACAATTGTACAATGTGTGGATACCGTTCGATGCTAGAAAAAATACGTGGCACTAAAAGTATTTTATAATGGTCATGGTCAAGAATGTCAGCAAAAAAAGTTCTCTGTTGTAACAGATACGAAGAACATCTATATTTGATATACAAACACACTATGTATGTATTGGTAATAATAGTATACGTGCAGGCCATTAACCAAGTTGTTCGACCAAAACTGAAAGTTATTACATTAACGAAATTTTACACACTCCACACACGTATTTACATCATTGAACCTACATTCAAACATCTATTGCAACAAGAACACAATAAACTCAATCGATATTAAACATAAACGTACTATAGCGAATACCAACGACTTTAACTCCTCTTCTAACTTTCCTCCACAATCCAATTAACCTAAAGACGTAATACTGAAGGAGACTGACTCACCCCTGTATAGAGATTCACCCCTCATCCNCTCTTCCAACTTTCCTCCACAATCCAATTAACCTAAAGAAGCAATACCAAAGGGGACTGACTCACCCCTACACAGGGATGAGACTATTTAAAACTAACCTACTTCAATTTCACAACAAAAGAAAGTCGTAGTTCTTAGGCTTTCACGGCCGGCGTCTATCGATGCTGTGTTTTCTTAGCGGGCTTTTTGGCCGTTCTCAAAAACGGGTTTACCCTTCTAAAACTGCATCAGTTATGACTCAGCACCTGCCCAGTTACCACTGAAGATGCCGTCAGCAAAGAACGGCGAAACGCCTGGAAAAGCAAGATTCCACGGACCACGGCCAAAAAGTCCGGAAGATAACACAGCATCGAAAAGAAAATCGCTTCGATTAATACGAAAATATAATTCACCAACCTCATGGTGTAGCCAAATCTTTCATTTTGCGTAAATAAAAACTAAAACGATGCACTGCGAGGGAGAAAAATGCCACTATAGTGGACCCCGGAAAAACTTGTATCATAATATATTGGGTTGTTCGGAAAGTCATTTCGTTTTTTCCCGACACAGGATTTAATTGTATTCTTTTGCACCCAACTTCACATTTAAGCCGTATAATTTTTATATGCTTTGAGAGCTCATATAGCAAGGCTTGTGTGTGAAAAATTCCAATTAATTCTACGCAGTAGTTTTTGGTTGGTGCCCT